GAACCGAACTCACGACCTTGCACTTGCCAGGCAGGTGCTTTTGCCGCTGAGCTAAATCCCCAGCCCCTCTTCATTCTTTTCTAGAGAAATTAAATGGCCAATATTGTGGAAAGCAAAGTAATGCTTTAATGGAGCTGAGGGAGGCCAGTGTTACGGGATTAAAGATGAACTCACTACACGACAGGTGACGTGAGGTACACGGAGTGTTCTTCTATTGTAGTCTTCTCATTTCTCAAGGAAGGGTCCACTGTCCCAATAAGAGAGTGAATTTCTAATGTGCATGTGCCCTGCTACTCAGTAGTTCTGTAGGTATTCACCTGGAGCCATGGTGATTGTGCAAATTATAAAGAGGAGCTCCTTTATCAAAAGATTTTTGTCTAAAAATTATCACAATAAGTAAATGGCATCCACAGAGTGAATGATGCCCCCCTAAATGGGATTTTGTGCAGTGTACAGCTTCTACCACTGTATGTTCTGGCCCCAATTACCTTATTCACATATATGAAAAATGATGTCAAGACATATGAAAAGAGTATTTGCTGAGTGGTATACAATGTACTACCCACCAAAAAATGTCACCAAAGTCCATCTGCAAGGGACATGTTAAATAAAGATATTAGAGTATCTTTATACAGTGGGTTACTAGGGAACATTATAAAAAGAATATTGTAGATCTATATATAATAATCAAAAAGTATTTTAGGTATATTATTCAGCAAAAAAGCAGTGTTATTTTTTTTAAGAGCAGAATATATTTATTGAGGGAAAGAAAAGAAAGCTTCTGTCCAAGAGAGAGACAGAAGGGGGGCCCAAGTGGGTTACCCCCAGCAGCACCATTATAATCAGTTTGTGTACATCTTTCAAAAGAAATACATACTGGTATACAGCCTTTATTTTTCTTTTTGAAAAACATTAAAATCCTTAATCAGAATCTCCTAGGAGAGTAATTAGGTGATGAAGGAAGCTTTTAGCTCAAAGGTGTAGTCTTCTGGCTGGGGATATAGCTCAGTGGCACAAGAGTCTGCCTGGCAAGCTCAAGGTCCTAAGTTTCATTCCTGATACCAAAAAAAAAAAAAAAAAACCCACACCAAATGTGTACTCTTCTGTATTATTTGAATTCTTTTACTAAAAGCTTTTACTATTTTCAGTTTTAAAGATCAACAAGAATTATTAGTATAAAATGACAGATTTTTTTCCCTTTATCTTCTGGCATAAAAAAAAAAATACCTTAAGCTGGGCATGGTGCTGCATTGTTGTAACACCAACTGCTCGGGGGTTAAGGTAGACGAATTGCAAATTCAAGGCCAACTTGGGCAACCAAGCAAGACCCTATCTCAAAATACAAGGGAAAAGGGGCTCAGGATGTAGCTCAGTGCAAGAGCACTTGCCTAGCATGTATGAGACCTTGAGTTTCATCCCTAGTACCACCAAAAGCAAAAATCTGAGAGGTATTTTTTCACTGCTGTGCGCATTCCTCAACAGAGTATATTAGAAAGAAGGCTGCAGGTTCCTTCCATGGGCTAAAGAAGGGCACAAGGAAGCAGGCTGCTAATTAAGGGAGCTGCTGAGGAGGCAGGCAGACCTGTCTCTGCCCCTCTGTTCTCTAAGGGCGTGCTCACCTCTCAACTCATGCTCCTGAGAACAAAGGCTACATTCATGCAGTTCCTGACAGTTCACGCGTTTAATCACAGAGGTTACCGTTACACACATATTCTCTTCTTAGTCCAGCTCTAAGGGAGGGTGAGCTCAGCATGTGCAGAGTCACCCTGACAGAAGAAAGCCCGGACCTATGCTGCGAGAGCTGTGGATTACCCGCTGCCTTCAGCTGACAGTGCTAAGTGGGTGGGGAGAATGAGAGTCGCAGTCTTTCTCCTTTCCATCTCTGTGCCTAGAGAAAGAATTCTAGTTTTCCATTTGTTCCTGAAATTTAAACCATTGTTAACACAGAAGGAAAGTGGAACGCATGATTACGGAGGGTATGCCAAGAACGCCCTCCCCCAAATGAATACGTATTTGGGTTGCACGTGCAGTATTCCAGAAAAAAGACAGCAATAAAGGATTTTCTGTGATGAATAGAAATTACATTTAACAGAGCTAAGTAGCGTAGCAACCCCAAATCTAACAATAGAGTGACATTTATACCTTTTTTAAAAAGGGGAAGTATTCGAATTAAATGACATTTCGTTTTTAAAAAAATTCTCTTCAGGAGGCTAAGGCTGTAGCCCTCATGTGAAAGGCCCTGGGTTCAATCCCCAGCATGCAGCAACATTTTATCTTCAGGAGTGGATGTCAGAGGAGAGTGCTGTGAATGTTACAGATTTTACAGAGCTTTCTTCTACTTGGAAGTTTTGCATTTTGTATCATGTGTTTGTTCCAATGTCAAGGCATTGGACCTTGATTTTGATTACAAGTTATAAATATTTTGATTCTAAGCCACACACATTCCATTCCTCTACACATTAGAAAAGAGGTTTTACCGACCTTATTCCAAGACAAGATCTTCTTTTGACATATTAAAAAACACTCTTTCATACCTTGCTGAATTTCTATTTGGAGACTGATTATTTAGAGTCCCAGTATTTATTTGCTTATCATATGTGCTTGATTGTCCAGACTGTGCCATCAGCAAATATTTATTCATTCATTCAACATTTAAGGAAAATCTTCTAGGTCCCTGGCTCTCTGCCCAGCACTGGAGCCCAGGGAATATAAAGATAAATATAAGATTAAAACTATAGGATCCCTGCCCTTAAAGAGGTCACAAGCTCTGCTGTCCAATGTGCATCATGATGTTGGTTCTACAGAGTCAGGGCCAGGACTAAAGTGAGACAGGAGACATGGGGGGGCATCTGCACATAGGGCTGTGCAGGGTGGGAGGCAGAGAGCAAAGACCCCAAGGACTTTAGGATCCCAGCTTCACCATACTCCTGGCCAGAAGAGAGTAACTTTCATTGACAGGGAAAGCAAGATCATTTCATGTTACTATATTTATAACAAAACAGACTAGAGAAGTTGAGAGATTTGAATAGAATTATCTAGGCATAATGTGGTAGAAGGAGGACCTAAGCCTTAGACACAACCCCAAACCAAGAAAATGACAAATATAATGAGAGAAACATGTGCTTAATTTCTTTAGTGATGGCATATGTGGTATAATATGTATTAGGTATATGGCATATGCATGTGGGAATGGTGTATGGTGTATAAATTAGGGAAACAGAGAAATGGAACCAACAGGATGTGTGTATGGCGTCCTTCATTATCCACCCTATTCAATGGAGGATAGATTCCAGGATCTCCCTGGATTCTAAATCCTGAAGATCCCCAAGTCCCTTACACAAATGGCATAATAGTTATATATAACCTCTGCATATACCCCCTTACACTTTAAGTCATTTCTAGGTTACTTATAACACCTAGTACAATGTAAGTGCTGTCTAAATGGTTGTCACTCTATATTGTTTAGAAAAGAAGTCTGCACATGTTCAGTACAGACACAGTATTTTCCAAAAATAATTTCAGTCCACAGACGATTGAATTCATGATGAATGTGGAACACATGATGCAGAGGGTAGTCATACGTATTACATGTTAAATAAAAGACAGCCAGTTGCTGTCTTTTATCGTCCATCACTACTTCTTGGGCCAGCACCACCATGGAAGGGTTTCTTATAAAGAGTTACACCGATGGCCCACTTCCAGTTGGGCAGCTCCTACCGGTAGCCAGAACTTCTTTCTACTGATGATGAAGATGTGGCTGTATATAATCTGAGTCGCGCCACTTCCTCAAGTG